TAACAACCATCCATACTCAGTTCCAGGGGATCCGACACCCTCTCTGACCTCTGTGGGCATTGTATGACACGGGTGCACCTACCTACATTCAGGAAATACACTCATACTCATAAAAAGAGTATGCTGAAATGGTAGTGAAAGGTTTTGTGCTCATACACCTAAGCATTTGAATTGTAAATATAATTTGGCAGGGGAAATCTCTGAATATCAGTGGTTAAACATGTGTTTCAAAATACTGATAGCAAAGCTGTGTGTGGTGGTGCTTGCTTCCCAGCATTTGAGAGGCTGAGGCAAGAAGCTTGTCATAAGTTTGAGGCCAGTCTGGGGTACATAGTGAGCTTCAGGTCAGACTGGGATACATGGGAAGGTCTTGTCTTAAAAACTGAAAAAACAGCCAGGTGTGGTGGCGCATGTCTGTAGTCCCAACACTTGGGAGGCAGAGGCAGGTGGATCTCTGTGAGTTCAAGGCCAGCCTGGTCTACATAGTGAGCTCCAGGACAGCTGGGGCTACAGGGAGACCCTGCTTCAGAAAGACAAAAAAAAAAAAAAAACAACAAACACCCAAAAAAAAAAAAACCCTGAAAAAAACAAAAAACAAAAAACAGAAGCAAGCAACCTAGCAGAAATGCAATTATTGGGGTTTATGTGATAGAACTCATAGAGTCAGGAAACAAAGTTATTTTACTTTTAAGTACACCACGAAGATGTCATATGATATTCCTTTTATTATTATTATTACTGTTTGTGTGTGTGTGTGTGTGTGTGTGTGTGTGTATGTGAGTATATTAATGTGTATGAATATGTGGTTGTGTGTGCCTATGCTTGCGTATGTGTACACCAGAGGAGGATGTCTTAGAGTCTTCTTCCATTGCTTTCTGCCGTGTTGCTTTGAGACCAGGTCTTTCTTTGAGGTAGGCTATCTGGCCAGTCTGCTCCAGAGATCTGCCTGTCTATCCTCCCCCACCAGTGCTGGGGTTATAGCCATGTGCAGCTATATTCAGCTTTTGTGTGGTTGCTGGGGATTTGAACTCAGATCCTCCTCCCCCCTCCTCCTCCCCCCTCCCCCTCCTCCTCCCTCTTTTTTTTGGGGGGGGGCGGGGAGAGAGGTGGCCTCTCTATAGCCCCAACTGGCTGGAAGTTTCTATTTAGACTGGGCTGGCTGTGAACTCACAGAGCTTCACCTTCCTCTGCCTCCAGAGTGCTGGGAGTGAATGTGCCACCTCTCTGGGCCTAAACTCAGATCCTCTTGATTGTATAGCAAGTGCTCTTATTCATCAAACCATCTCCTCATCCCCAAAGACTTAGGGATCTTGTTTGATGTTTGTCACTAATGTTACTGACAAATTGTGTTCAGATATTTATCCAATAGTATTTTACTTTCATGGAAAACTTGTTTTTTCTGTATCAAAGCCTACAATTTATAGCTGCTTGGTTCTCAAGTATGTATTTATTCTTTTCTTTCTATAACTTAGTGTTTTGCCAGATGAATAAATGTTCATTCATCACATATAAAAATACTTATTTCTGATCATTGTGATTCACAAAGAAATTAAGACAGTTGCATTAGTTAATTTTCTCATTGTTGTGACCAGGCACCTGACAGCAAGCAGCATAAGGGAAGAGGACTCATTTTGGCTCAAGTTAAGGCTATAGTCTGTGACAGGAAAGGCATGGCTCTTAGTTGTGGCCAGTGTCTTTATTGTTACCAGGCATCTCTTTCCTCTGAATCACACTTTTGAAGACAAGTTATTCTATAAATGGTGCTGACAAAACTGGATATTCATGTTCAGAAGAATGAAATCAGGTATATTATCTCTCACCCTGCCCCCCCCAAATAATTCAAATTGGATCAAAGACCTTAATTTAAACCTGAAATGTTGAAACTGCTAGAGGAAAATATAGAGCAAACACTCGAGGATATAGGTATAGGTAAGAAACTTCTGAGTATAAATCCCCAGTAACAAGAAAATAGTCCTTATCAATAATTGACACACCCAGTGCCTTGCACATGCTAGGCAAGAGCTCTACCATTGAACTACATCCCCAACCCCTAATTGTAGGGTTTTTCTTTGTTTATTTTTTGAGACAAGGTCTCCCTTTAAACCCTGTAGATAGCCTGGAACTATGTAGACCAGGTGGCTTTGAACTCAGAGATCCACCTGCCTTTGCCTCCAGAATGCTGGGATTAAAAGTGGTCTAATTGTAGGTTTTTAGGTGGTATTCTTTTTTTTTTTTTTTTTTTTTTTTTTTTTTTTTCCTTCTTTTTGAAGCAGGGTCTCCCTGTAGCCCCAGCTGTCCTGGAACTCACTGTGTAGACCAGGCTGGCCTTGAACTCACAGAGATCCACCTTGCCTCTGCCTCCCAAGTGCTGAGACTACAGGCGTGTACCACCACGCCCGGCTGGTGGTATTCTTCATTAGATCAGAGAACTTCCTCTGTAGTCCTTCTTGGAAAATTTTTGTTGTTGTTGTTTAAACCATAAATGAATGTTGAAAATTTCCCATTTTTTTCTGGTGTTGAGCTCTATAGGAGTTTCCTCTTTTTTTTTTTTGTTACTATTGAGAATTTCATACATGCATATAAGGTGATTTGATCAAATCCATGCCCACTCCCTCCCCTGCAACTCCTCCCATATCTCCTCATCACTTTTTTCTGACAACTTCATATACTCTTTCTTTCTTTTTAAATGAGGATTTTTGCCACTCTAACATTACCCCCCCAAAGAGGTAACCCTAAAATCTTTTCGGGATTAGATAAAAGCTCCCAAATACTTTTGACATTTTTAGCCTTTGGAGAACAGAGTATGTTGCTAAGAGGCCTAAGGACATTTTGAATTTTAGCCAAGAAACTGGCTACTTTTCTTTGGGGTCTTTTTACCCTAACTGCCTAGCCAATTCCTACCTCCTATTCTTATCACACCATCCTCTGAAGAAGTTACCCAATTTGTGGGTAGGAAATTGGGACACAGACTGCTCTGGCTTCTTCCATCTGAATAGGGCTGCAAGGTGAGGCATTTGGGGTACCCCTTCAGTGGGTCTATCCAAAAGACTCCCAAGTTGCATAACTCTTTAGGGAGAAAAGAAAGTCCTTGACTGGTGAGTAGGAGATGTGAAGGAGAAGTAAAGGCAAGAGTAGTTAGTTAGCATTACAAGCTCTAGACAGGGAACCAGAAGAAAGTCAGAACAGGGCAAATTTCAAATGTTCATATGAGTCCATTTTAATTTCTTGACGAGAGCTTCCAAAAGCATCCCTCTATTGGTTTCCTCCTCATTTTTCTTTTGTCTGCCAAGGCTGGACTTGAGAGTGATGGACTCAGGATTTGTTTTCAGGCACTTTGATAGCTGTTGGAGTGGCTAGTTTCCTCTCAAAGGCTTCTAGATAGGGGGTTTCCTCTTCTAAATGAGGAATTATTTGTTTTAGAATGATGAAATAAACCTTATTGCTTTGTAAGATGTTCTGAGCTCATGAGACATTTAAAAAAAACTGTTGTTGAATATTGTTCCTCATTTACATGTGTAACTGAGTTACTTGTACCTAGTTCTCTCCTACTTTTTCTTTTTCTTTTGGAGACTAGTCTCTCTAGGTATCCCAGGCTGTCCTCAACCTTTTCAGGGCAGGGATTATAGGGTGTGTGCCTCCACACCACTTCTGTTTTATTTTTCTGTTTTTAGTATCTGAGTTATCCTGGCCTTATAAATGCTGATGGCAATGTCCTTCTCTGTTTGTTTGAGCCATTTATCTTAATTTGGAATCACATGTTTTTGAGTATATATGGTAAAACTTCCTTGAAAAATTCCTTATTCCTGCTGCTTTCTTTTTTGATGAAGTTTACCTTCCTCTTCACTCTCAACTAACTACATATTTGCTGTGTTTTTCTTTAGAAATTTTTGATGTTACATTTTCTAGGAATTTATTTTTTCTTGAATTTTCAATTTATTACACAAAGTCAGTGATGGCATTCTTTTCTTAAAATTATTTCAAAATTTTATTATTTTACTCCCACCCCCAGTTTTATAAAATGGGGTGTGGACTCTGTTAGTATAGTGTTGCCCAGCATGCACAATGCCCTGGGTTAGATCTTTAGGCATTGCCTAAAACCAGACATGGTGATTTCTGCCTGTAATCACCACTTGGGAGGTGGAAGCAGGAGGATCAGAGGTTCAAGGCCATCATCTGCTGCATAGGGGATTTGAGACCATCTTGGACTTCATGAGACCTTTTTTCCAAAAACTTATTGGTCAGGTTTAGAGACACAGTCTAATTGACCTTGGAGGGCAAGGGGCAAAATAGTGCTACTTTAAATCCTTCTGACCACATTAGTATGGGCCTTTAATATGGTTATTGATTCAGTTGGACCAGTCTGCTCCTTTTTTTTTTGATATAGGGTCTCCCTGTAGCCCTTGCTGGCCTAGAACTCACTATGTAGACCAGGCTGGCCTCTATCTCTCAGAGATCCAACTGCCTCTGCCTCCTGAGTGCTGGGATTAAAGGTTTGCATGCATCGTCACAGTCAGTCAGTCTGGTACTTTTAACTACTTTGTAATATTTAGATAAAGCTTGGGCAAAACTCAGACTCTTTAAGATAAATTATTTATTAAATACTAGTACTTAGTAATTAATTTTTGTAATTATTAAAAATTACTTTATATTTTGATGCTTTTCATAGTTTTATGGAATGAAAAATTTTCTTATCCCTGCTGATTTCCCATATCTTCCCTCACCCTTCAAGCTATTTTCTGTTAAACTTTGAAATACCTTGTTTTTATCATGGCTTATGAGAATAAGAGACTGCCGTACTTATTTAAGCCTGTTGGGAATAAGCACACATTAAATGACTGATAATTTTCTATGGAACTAAAACAGATTTAGGTGAATCCTAGTTTGCTGAATGTAGATTCCTGAGAGCTCTGGTATCTGTTTCCAGCTCCTTGCAAGCTGTCTGTCTTTGCTACTGGAGGGGAAAGCTGATTTGCAGTTTTCTTTTTTGTGTTGTTTCTTAGCATATGCAGATGACAATCCAGGCTCTCCAGGATGAGTTACGGATTCAGAGGGACCTGAACCAGCTGTTTCAGCAAGATAGTAGTAGTAGGACCGGTGAGCCCTGCGTGGCTGAGCTGACAGAGGAGAACTTCCAGAGGCTGCATGCGGAGCACGAGCGGCAAGCCAAAGAGCTGTTCCTTCTGCGCAAGACCCTGGAGGAGATGGAGCTGCGAATCGAGACTCAGAAGCAAACCTTAAATGCCCGGGATGAGTCCATTAAGAAGCTTCTGGAGATGTTACAGAGCAAAGGACTTTCTGCCAAAGCTACAGAAGAAGACCATGAGAGAACAAGACGGCTGGCAGAGGCAGAGATGCATGTCCACCACTTAGAAAGCCTTTTGGAGCAGAAGGAAAAAGAGAATAATATGTTGAGAGAGGTGAGTGACTCCCTTTTCAGTTGTTTTGATTTACTGATTGTCTCTTTTCCCTTGTTAACAGAATGTGGCCTAGATAAATTCATATACTTTGCTGTGTTCTGGATAGGAATTTTGTCTTTTATGTTGCAGTGCATCACTAATTTCTGATTTCCTTTCTTGAATGGAATGACATCATCTGGTATATTTGTTACTTAATGACATCTGAACTCCTGCCACCCCACACACGTGATTTCTAGAGACTCATGTGTTGCCAGAGGGATGCAGAATCTTTTTTTGTGTGTGTGACTTGCCTCTGTGTTTGTTCATAGAGACAGCACAACATAACCCAAATCAGAGTAGCTAACTGCTGCTCACTAAAAAGTATTAATAAGAGAGTATGCTGTTAACCTCAGTTCACATGTGCTGGTCATGTTCTTGGAAGCAATAGTGAATGTTTGTCTGTGGTTTCCATGGAAACTGTTCCCTTGCTGTGGAAGATATGTGGTAAAATTTATTTGTTCCTACAGAGGTGTAGCCAGGAGGAATGATGTAGAAGCACAATGTTGCTTATATTTTAGAGGAAACAGACTTTAGCTGACCTCTGTGATTATACTTCACTTTCTGTGGTAATGTCATTTCAAGAAAGCGTAAAGGAAGAATTAATCATACTTTGAGCTAGTTTATAAATCTTATAAGTCTGATTAGACATAAGATAGCTTTCAGTTTAAAAAAAATTTTTTTTCCTTTCAGTTTTTGAGACAGGCTTCATTATGTGGTCCAGGTTAGTCTTGAACTGATAGTGATGCACCTACCTCACCTTGGGATTACAGGCATGCGCTGCCATGACTAACTTTCACACTTTGATGAGGGGGGAAGAAAAATCCTTAAATTGTTAGTATGAATCTGAATAATTCTTTTTTTTTTTTTTGGCCTTTGTGAGACAGGGTCTCCCTGTAGCCCCAGCTGTCCTGGAACTCACTATGTAGACCAGGCTGGCCTTGAACTCACAGAGACCCGCCTGCCTCTACCTCCCAAGTGCTGGGCTTAAAGGCCTATGCCACCACGCCCAGCTGAATAATTCTTTTTTAAATGAACTGGGAGGAAGAAAAATGTGGTGTTCCCAAAGCAAGAAAATATTAATTACCAAGTTTGTAGTTTTTTTTCCTATAAGTTTTCCTTTAAAGAGAATCTGGAATATTTATATAATAGCTGGCATTTTTACTTTTAAAAAACCACAGTTTTTTTTTGGTCTTTTTGAGACAGGGTCCCCTGTAGTCCCAGCTGACCTGAACTCACTTATGTAGACCAGGCTGGCCTTGAACTCACAGCAGTCTGCCTGCCTCTGCCTCCTGAGTGCTGGGACCAAAGGCATGTGCCACCACGCCTGGCAAAACTTCATATTTTTTAAACATAATTTTTATTACAGAGGAAATTAGTTGCAGTTTGTTGTTTATAAACTTAGAAAATACCCAAAACTTAGAACCTTAAAACTTTAAACCTGTTATTGCCTAATAATAGTTGGTAGCTTCTGTTATGTAAATGTTTCTAGTCACTTATTATTTATATATATTTTTTTCTTTTTCTTTTTCTCTTTTTTTTTGAGACAGGGTCTCCTTATAGCCCCAGCTGTCCTGAAACTCACTATGTAGACCAGGCTGGCCTTGAACTCACAGTGATCTACCTGCCTCTGCCTCCCGAGTGCTGGTATTAAAGGTGTGCACCACCACACCCGGCTCATATTTATTTTTCTTAAGAGGGTAGAATACTCATCAGCAGTATTAGAAGTGTTACTTTCTGTAGTGATGGAAATGTTCTATAGCTGCTCTATTAAATGTGGGAGCTACCAGGTACTTGGACTGTTGAATAGTTGAAGAGTAGCTAGTGTGTTAGAGGACTAGATTTATACGTTTATTTAAATGTAATTTATCTTTAATTAAACTTAATTGAATTTAAATTTTAGTTCATGCATGTGGTCTAGTGGCTATTGTGTTAGATAGTACAAATTGTGCAAAATACAGTGCCATCTACTTTTCTTCCTTACTTGCCTCAATCATCCTTTTTCTTGTTACTTATAAATTTTGGTCATTCCAGATGAAATTAGAATATTCTATCACATGCATTTGAACATCTTTTACTGTTAGAATTTAGACCACTATTAACTTTTCAATATTGTAAAACCTGTACTTTGAACATATGCCTATAATCCCAGAACTTGGGAGATGGGAGAATTGAAGGTAATCCTTGCCTACATTATGAGTTCAAGGCCATCCTGAATTACATAAATCCTGTTTCAAAAAACAAACCAAACACACCAACCCCCGCCCCCAACCAAACCAACCAAACAAAACCCCCCTGGCTTCACTGACTATCCTTGACCATATATCCATGTATATTTGTTTTGTTTTGTTTTCCCATGGAAAACAAAGGTGTGTACAATTTGAAAACTTTGAATAAGCTTATCCTCCAGAGTGGTTGGACCAGTTTACTGCCTAACAGTATGTACTGTATTCTTACCATTAATTTCAGATGCAATGTATGCTACATTCTTCAAATTACCAGAATGTACTATTGAAAAATTTTTAGTCAAATACCACAGTACAGGCACATCATGCATTTTTTTCAGCTTACTTTATAGACTTCATATTTTATTTATTTTTTGACTTTTTGAGACAGGGTCACACTGTGTATCTCAGGTTAGCCTTGAACTCAGTATTGTAGACCAGGCTGGCCTGGAACTCTCCATTTCTCTGCTTCAGGCTCCCAAGCACTGACATTTTAGGTATATACCAGCATACCAAGGTTTGTATTTTAGGAAAATAACCTGAAATCTGACCATAGATCACTGTTGGAAAAGCAGTAGAAAACTCATAGAGCAAGCCGGGCATGGTGGCGCATTCCTTTAACCCCAGCACTTGGGAGGCAGAGGTAGGCAGATCTTTGTGAATTCTAAGGCCAGCCTGGTCTACATAGCGAGTTCCAGGCCAGCTGGGGCTACAGGGAGACCCTGTCTCAAAAAGCCAAAAAAATGCCGGGTGTGGTTAGGCAGCCGGATCTCTGTGAATTCAAGGCCAGCCTGGTCGACATAGTGTGTTCCAGGACAGCTGGAGACCCTGTCTTAAAAAAAAAAAAGGGGGAGAAAAAGAAAACTCATAGATCATCTAACAGGAAAACTACTAGCATTGTGATAAACATTGAATATTAGATTTTTACTATTTCTGAATATTTCAGCTTGTCCTAGTTCCTTTTTGGGTTTTGGAGTTAATAAATGCTTTAAGGATTTTGGGAGGCTACAACATTTTTCTGGTTGAGAATAATTAGAAATTTGCTGAACTTGAAAAAAATACTAAAAGAATCCAAATGTTTAAGACTGATTTTCAAAAACATGAAGCTCTATAAATTATATCCATGATGTGGGAAAAATATATAGCCTTGCTGTATATTTCAAAGTTGCCATTGGTAACATATTATCATATTATAGGAATTATAGTCATACTTCTTAAAATTACTTAAGGGCAAATGGAACTGATGGCTTTAGAAATGCTTATTCATTGTTTTCTGACTCATCTTCAAGATTTCAGTTCTACCATGAAGTCTTCCATGTGTAGCTTTGTATACATACATACGTACTAACAGGTATATTTATATATAAAACACTGATTGTGTTATTGTATACATACTTACATGTATGTTTTTTCGTTGTTTAATATTTTACCTTTGTTTGGCCTAGTATGACAAAGACACTATAGATTGATTGGCTTGTTCAACAAACATTTGTTTCTCAAAATTCTGGAGGGTGGGAAGTCCAGGATCAGGGCACCAGTGCTTGGTGAGGACCCACTTCCTAGTTCTTGGACAGCATTCTTCCTGCTGTGTCTGAATGGCAGGAAAGAGTGAGGGAGTTCTCTGGGATCCTTATGATAACAGCAAAAGAATGGGATTCCCTTAAAACCTATGTACTGTGCAAAGTCCCCACCTTCTAATACCATCATGTTGGGGGTTTAGGATTTGTACATGCCATTATGGGGAGTTCAAAGAGCACCTTTTTTTTGAGACAAAGTCTTACTATGTAGCCCTCGATGACCTTGGACTGACTTTCCTTCCCTCCTCCACTCTCCTTCTCTCAAGTACATTAGATAAAATGTTATACATTTTGACTATCAGGCCAAATAAATACTTAAAAAAATAAGAACTGAATGATATTTGGATAGATTGGTTTAAATAAATAACAGGACAATAAATGTATGTTTTAAAGCATTTTGCTTCCTGGTGACATACTGAAATTAAGAGGTAGAGATGGTTGTGCTAATTGGTGTTTAATAATATTCTGGAAGTTTTAGATAGTGCAGTTAGATAGTATAGTTAAATAAGGGAATGGAATACACAGTATCATTAATGGAAAGGATAGGATTGAATATTCATTATTGTATATGTAGAAACACTAATATGCACATGTCAGGTCCCCAAATATATCAAGTCACTGTAACTATAATGGGTATTCTCTGGAAACTATTGAAAGATGTACTTAGATAGATCATGTGTATTTATAATCCAGGTGGTGCACATCTGTAATACCAGCATTTGGGAGGCAGAGAGAGGAGGAATTCAAGTTCAAGGCCAGCCTCAGTTATATAGTTAAACTCATTCTAAACAAACAAACAAACAAACAAACAAAGTTACTTCATTGCCATGTGTGATCTTGGCATGGGCATAGAAACCACCAAGATCAAGGAAACAAAATAGAATTGAGAAATAGTACAGTATTAAGTATATGATTACTATTTTGGGATAATGACCATCATTTAGAAAATACCAGTTACATAAAATTAAATTCCAGATGAAGTAAAGAGCTAAAGAGAAGACATCAGATGAAAATGTAAGCAAAAAGCTTTAAATATCTTTGACAGGAAAGACTCATTGTTATAGCAACATTAATAAATTAAATATGCATGTTAGAACAATTATCAAAGAAAAAATAATTTTTAACATGTTAAAATAGTTTTTATACTTAAAATAGAATAGTT